GGGGGGCTACAAGCCAAATTTCCCATATATTTTTTATGAAAGCGAACAAGGAAAACACCCTAGCACACGAGGCCTCAAGTAACACTGGCGTAATACTCGTTTTGTTTGAGATCTTTGGGACCTCTCTCCTTCGTCTTCCTCCTAGGAAAAAGAACGGGGGAAAAAAAGAAAAAAAATCTCATCTTTAAGATTTTCAGCAATGGGGATCCGATTCGTGCTGCTGGTGAACAAACAGGGACAGACGCGGCTTGCTCAGTACTACGAGTACCTAACCCTAGAAGAGCGCAGAGCCCTCGAGGGCGAGATCGTCCGCAAGTGCCTCGCTCGCAACGATCAACAGGTTCATTTGATCTTTGATGCTTTTTGTTTTTTCCCGTTCAATTTCATCAAGGATGAATCAGTTGCTGCCCCAAAAGATCTGCGCTTGCCCTAATTTGACTTAGTGATGAGGTTACGAAAATTATTCAGTAGGGTCTTAATTTTGTGTTTGTTAGTATTATTGCATGAATCCTGATCTACCCAAAACAAAAGTAAAGTTTTGCTGGCTAATGGCACCTGGATCAGTTTCTGATTGCTAAAGTTCAGTTCTTTTAGGAAATTTGACATCTTGATCTGGTAATCGTGATTATATGGACCGTTTCGATCTCCATGCTTATCTTTGTTTAGGGACAAATTAGACCGGTGACTTTTGAAGAAGAGTTTGTTAAGAAATAGATAACATGCTACAACAATGTAGTTGGTGATGCACTGCACTCGATTGACATGTACTCGCTTATCTTCACTGAGGTAGCCTTTAACCGATCGAATGCCTTGATTCATATATGCATTGGGATTCAACAATGCATTGTTGAAACATTATGTAAGGTTTGGGTTGAAATATCCAGCGTATACATGACTGGCAATCCTTTGACTTTGGGTCTTCACTTTAGGGGCAATTCAGGCTACATGCATGTTCGAACTAGTTTTCTGGAAAGTCTGGATGTATCATAGGGAAGTTGGTCCAAATAAAAGAAAGTATGGAAATATTTAAGTGATACCTATGTACATTTTAAAGGTCTGATCCGGCAGAGAAGCCTAATGCTTGGTGCTTAGAATTTTTTTGAGCTTGTGTTCATATTTATTACCTGTGGTACTTTTTACATTTGTGTGCTAGAATTGGTTTGTCGTGGAGTTTTCTGATAACCTTATTATAGAACCATGATTAGGGGTTGATTAATGCTCACGCTGTGGTATACCACTGAAGAAGTCAGTGGATAGAGGAAGATGATAAAACCAGGTCTTCGCGATTATGAATAAATTGGTATATGTTTACCTTGAGACTGTCTGGTGTCCTTATTCCTTTGTAGCTAGCTTGCTCTTTCTCGGTTTAATTAGGTCACTTGTCTCACATCCAATTGGATGCATATCAGCAGCTCAAACTGACCCGTCATTTTGTGTATATGATTTTGAACATAAATATGTCAGTTAAGTTAGAAGAGAGTTGATATTATTTTGAAGAAGTCAGCTTTACAGAATTTCTGGAATTCTCAATAAAAAAAAGAGCCGGAAAGAGGGTATAACATGTTTTTTTCCTTTGGGTATTTTGGCCTTGAAGAAATAAGTGGAAGCTGGGGGCTCAGACCATGAGCTTTATCATGGATGTTTCAGAAATAGGTTTTTGGATAAACTTGGTTATTGTCCTTGAGTAAAGGTGGCATGTCTTGGAATGAACATAAAAATTTCTTCTCTTGATTTTCAGCAATTTATTAACTTTCATGTCTTTTATTGCCCAATCGCTTTTCACTTGTTTCTCATTAATGAAAGAGGACATCTTGTGTAACGATCCATCGTTGGTCTTTCTGTGCTTACTAAACTCTCTTGATTTCATACGATTAGCTTCTACTAAAAAAATTCATTTCTATATTTATGTTTCTTTCTGAATTCTAATAACATAGTTTTGTTTGTAATGCAGTGTTCATTTGTTGAGCATCGGAATTACAAAGTTGTGTATAGGCGTTATGCCTCTCTCTTTTTCTTGGTGGGAGTTGACAATGATGAGGTGGTAGCTATCCTTTAGGCTGCACTTTTATTGGACAAATTTAAGTTTGTTTATTAGTTGCTGGCGTTCTGAATATCACATAATAGTTGCAAGAGAGAAGTAAATACAAAACCTAGTTACTAGAAGCTTTTGTATCCAAACCAACTAACAAGTAGCGTTGATCATAGCTTATTGCTCTACTTTTGTACTCAATGTGAATATCACATTTGCCTTCTCTTTCAAGATACAAGATTCCTACTAACAAAAATGCAATGACCTAACTGAATCTTTCATAGCATTCAGTGATCCTGTCCAATTTGCACTTGGAAAGGTAGTTACATGAACTATAATCACAAACCAAATACAAAATACCTTTACCTGGAACACTCAGGCACTGAGGTATCCAAGACTACAACATCCCAATGAGTAGTTGGCAGGGACATCTAAATTAACACAATGTTTTATGGCCCTGTGGAAGCTATTTGCTATTTGTGGCATCATTGCCCATGACGTCAAAGTTATTGCTTGAAATTTATATTAACAACACTAATCTTTAGGGGTTGGGTTCTTAAAGTGGATTAGATTACCTGCCATTGAAATGTTTTTTCGAGTATTAGTCGGATTATTACTCTTACCGTCTAGCATCTCTTTATTGTGATTTTATTTATTTATTTCTTCTTTATTTTGGCAGAATGAATTAGCTATATTGGAATTCATACATCTATTGGTCGAAACCATGGACCGCCATTTTGGTAATGTGGTATGTCTTTCCTCTGGTCCATAATAGTTCATGTTCATATGTTTTTATCATTTTATTTCGCCTTATGTGGAATCAAACTGACCCATATTCCCCTTCGTGGTGCTTGACTACAGTGTGAACTTGATATCATGTTCCACCTTGAGAAGGCCCACTTCATGCTGGAAGAAATGGTTATGAATGGATGCATTGTTGAGACTAGCAAGACCAACATTTTGTCACCAATCCAGCTCATGGACAAAGCTTCATAGCTCATCAGCAGTTAATGTCAAACCCATCAGTTCCTTGCTGTTTGGTTTTGTAGCATTTGCTAATTACTGTGTTTGCTTTAGTTTGTGAAGAGATTTTCTCTGATGAAACCACCATATACTCTGTTATCAATCCTGGATTGTATTTTCAGTTTTAATATATCGCAAGAAAACTGCTGAAGTTTCACCATTTCCTGATGATCTATGACCCCTGAAGGGGATATATACCATGTCGAGGAGGATTGCTAATAAGAGTGCACACCTCGTATGACATCTGTGGCCCAAATTCAGCTGGTGATCTCTCTAACAGGCTATGGACTATCAGAGATCTGAAGCAGCTGCAAGCTACTGCTGTCATTTTAATAGACCAGAAAATGTTACTTTTTCAACAGGCCGATGTTCAAGACCACTTTCCAATCAAAAACTATATTCAAGGTTCATAACGCTAACTTCGTATTGTTTTCTCTAAAAAAGCAACGTAAACATTCTTCTTTAATATGGGTTTGCGTTCATTGTCTAAAGCATTAGTTGTCAGTGCATTTACAAATATGTGTCCAATATTTTCAAGTTCTGATTAAGTCCATTGTTTTATAATTAAGTCCATTGTTTTATTCACTGCTGTCAAGCACTGTCAGTGTTATGCTTTGCGCTAGTAATAGATTTGCAGAATTTAACAGGTAAATGGAGTTCAACAGCAAAGCTGGATTATCAACACAGCATCAACATTGGAGAAAACCAAACGGCAAAATCTAACACAAGCATCACTGAAATCAGGCAACATGAGAATAGTAACTTACAATAGATGCAGCAAATGTTCATCAAATCTGAAATCAGGCAACATGAGAATAGTAACTTACAATAGATGCAGCAAATGTTCATCAAATCTGGCATATAAGCTGTTCATATTCCAAAACCATAAAATAGATGCAGCAAATGTTCATCAAATCTGGCATATAAGCTGTTCATATTCCAAAACCATAATACATTAGTGGGCACCAGAAACACATTACATTATAGAAAGAAGCAACTAAGACAAATTGCACAGCTACCAGAAGTAAAATTGTAACTGGATTGCGCTATAATTGGCTAAGTGTGTAAAAAGAATATTAAAGAAACGGGGTTAAAAAGATGCATCACTTGAAGCCTCCATATTGCTGCTGAACGGAAGTCGAAAAGCCGCTATCTCCCTTGTTTGAAGTTGATGAAGGAAAACCCGACATACCCATGCTTGATCCTGTAACCATGGGACGAGTCATGTACCATGGTGTTGCATCTGAAGCATCCCCAAGTCCACCGACTACTCCAATATTTGCTGCTAGGTTTATTGTCTTGGCTGCAAAATGAAAAGCAACTTTTAATACCAAGGCAAAATTTTATCTAACATATAAAGGCTTCATTCTGACGATTGTATAACCTATTTAAAATAGTGAAATAAGAATCAATATATTGATTGCTAGTAACTTATTTAAGTAACTATGGGAAGTGAGTACGAGGGGAAAAATACAATAAAAGAAGTTGCCTGCCATAGTAATGCAAGAGATGGCTTAAGGGTGAGTTTCCAGTTTCTTTCTATTATATCAATATAGAATGGGGGTGCCCCCTGGTACTTAAGGGGTAGCTCCTTGCGGATTGTTGGGGACTGGGGGGATTCGAACTGGGGTGCGGCGGACTCCAAAGGGAGTTTAAGTGGAGGTACTGACCAAGGTTCCCTTGTCAACAAAAAATATATAGAATGAGGGTATAAAAATTGAATTTTGTCAAAAATTGTGATACTTTTTAGGCAACAAAAAATTAATAATAATAAAATCAGGGCATCAAAGTTTAAAATGGGGTGAATTCCTGGGCAATTAAGTGCAATAACCGGACAAATAGTTTAGACGAAATTATAAAATGAAAACTCATCTTATAAAAATACAAAATATTAGATATGCTCAAATAATAATGCTAACTTTACTTATAAACCTCAACATTTAAATCTGAGATTTTTTTTTCTAGTCTTAAGAATATCGTAATCAAATCCATTCATACTTCATCCTAATTCTCAAGATTTAATCCCAACCCCCCCCCCCCCAAGAGAAAGCTACTCAACAATTAATTAGTAAGGCACCATTCGGACAGAGGACTGCACAATTGTTCTTGAACTTCTAGATGTAGTTATTTTCTTCTTCTTTTTTCATTCTATTTTTTGTGGTGAACATAAAAAGAGTTTGGACTTTCCACATATGTATGGTCAATAATGTCACAGCCTTTGGCAGTGCCGCAGACAAGGTGCTAGCACAGTGACTTATCCAGAAAGTATTATTGTAGGCCTATGTTACGTAGGTGCTGCTATCGTGAAGCAGTACCCTGTACACGACGTCATGTACCCATACCCGACACTTCTTGGACACTCCTTAAGTATATGCATCCATTTATTCAAACGTGTACTCAGTTATACAATACATGTTTCAATTTAAAACACTAGCCATGTGCTTCTTGGACATATGCCTGTTTCGTTCGCATATAAAACCCCTGCAAACCCATTTCCGTGATCTGACAAACCCAGTTTGGGGAAACAAGGTGTCCGTAGGTTCCTATTTCATCAGTTTGGCAAGGTTAACTCAATGTGGAAATGAGGAGATGAAAAGTAGTGTCACGTCAGAAAAAGGTGAAAACCCATTTCCGAGCGATTAGCTCTGAAATGGGGTTAAAGCCGAATTTCGGCATTAAAAAATTGCCACACTAATTCCAATGGAACAGACGTCATATGAAAAAAGGGTTTCCTAGATCTCATTTCCTACTTCTGGGTTGAAACGAACAATAGAAAGAGGGGAAACTCATTTCCTTGGTTTCAATGTGAAATAAACAGCATAATCTCTTTTCCAAGAATCCCCAAAAAACCTATCGTAACATATTTTTAGGCTGAAAAAGGGTTTCTTAGATTTATGGTTTACCAACCAAACAGGCCCATATCCAACACTTCACGTCCATTTTTGAAAGTTGTTGGACAAGAGTTGAGTTTGTTTCGTCCATATTCAGTAAAGAAATGCAATTTCAAAGGATCGTTTGCATATCTAGCCAGAACTATGATTTCAGCACACATTTCAGCTGTGTCCGCTTACCCTAAATATTAAAATTTTGATGTGACATGTACCCGTACCTGCACCAATACCTGTATCTATGCAACTAAGATGTAGGCAAATTGATATCATTGAAACCTTCATTACTAGCATTACATGAACATGGGATATGATGGTCAAACTTCCAGTACTTAATAAGTTCTGACATGGTTCTCCAAAACTTGAAAATATGATCAGGGACAAGGCTATATATAATAGATGCATGCAAGAATGTACATAACTACTTGTCAGTAAATAGTAATTAAGGGGCCGTTTGGTTGGTTTCCTAAAAAGCAAGAAAAGGAAATCGGTACAAGGAAACCAATAAAATAATATTTTTATCCATTTCCATCCCTAAAACTCACCCACAACATCTAATAAAATAATATTTTTATCATCCAACTCATCTCATTTCATCTCCTTTCTTACCTTTAAAAATAAACCAAACACAAGAAATGTGTCACATCATCCAACTCATCACATCTCATCTTATCTCATTTTTAAAAATCACACACATCATCCAATAATATTGTGACAACTCATCTCATCTCATTAAACATTCCTTTCCATCCATTTCCTCAAAAAAAAACAAGAAATTGATTTCCTTAAGTATGTGTCACATCATCCAATAATATACCTCCAACTCATCTCATCTTATCTATTTTCTTATTTTTAAAAACGAACCAAACACAAACAACCTCAAAACATCATCCAATAATATACCTCCAATTCATTTCCTTATTTTTTAACCAACCAAACAACCTCAAAACAATTTTTTTTAAAAAATCACTCACATCATCCAATAATATGGTGACAACTCATCTCATATCATCTTCTATTCTTTAGTTTCCTTATTTTTTAAGCCAACCAAACAACCTCAAAACAATTATTTTAGGAAATAGGTTTCCTATTCTTTGATTTCCCATTCTTTTTTGCGAAACGAACAGCCCCTAACTAGAGAAATTGGCTCAGAGTTCAAAGTTCAAAGAAATGATCTTAGATTGATAGGATCTAATATTAATATCATGCCTACAATCTTGCATACAAATGCTACATGATAGCAACAGATTGTGATGTTATGATAGTTTATTACTTAAGAATACTTATTGGAATGTCTAAGGATAGACTGTGCCCTAGTGTTCAGTGCATTAAAAAAAACTAAAGCTTGAAGTGTCCTGGTAATACTCACAAATTGAAAAGAAAAAGGTTACTATGAATAAGAAAGTAACTCGAATAAGAAAGTAACTCAAATAAGAAAGAAAAGGAGCTTACGGGCTGTGATATTTAGATCAATCAGTCCACGGCTTAAAGAATCAGCCCAAATCCCCGACTTAACTTGGAAAGCATCCTTCTTGGCTTCTGGCTTGGATGATGTCATTGATTGTTCCATGCTATCAAGGCTGTTGTTTGTTACTTTTTGTTGAGGCTTTGTTGTTTTTGATTCACTATGAGATGTGAAGGCACTAAAGGAGTCAGTTTCTTCAAAACTGTTCAGTGGAATTGCTGCAAAAGGATCAAAGGTTGTATTTATATGTTCTGAATTAGAGGACTTCTTTCCGAAACTCATGCCTGAATCAGGGGCTGGAAAAGGGTCAAATGGTGCTGTGCTTTTCTGCTCTGAACTAGAGTACTTTGCTTCAGAAAGCGAGCCTGAATCAGATGCTCGAAATAAGTCAACACTTGCAGAAGGTGGAGCAGGAAAGGCAGGCTGATTAGCGAAAAGATCAATATTTGCCTACAGTAACACAGAATCTTAGTAATAAGACATGACATGATTGCCATGAAGAGTAACAAACCTAAATAAAGAAAAGAAGACAGAACCATCTTCCTCAAACTCCAGTCTAGACAGTTAATTGGCAAACATATTCAAAGTAGATCAACTAAAGAATTGCTGCCGTGCATTAAACTAGCAAAAACTGCCAGAGCAAAAGAAAAGGCCACACCGACTTTGGCTTAATGCTCCCTAAAGTATTTCAAAGTAGGAATTTCAGATATGTGGTGTGAAGCAGGTAGTTTTCATCACGAGGAAATAACATGAGCACATTAAGTTAATTCCAGATGCAAATTTGCAACCTAACCTTATCATGAGAACCTGTTGTTAGTTCTTCATGAGGTGAGGCCAACACGAATGTGGCATCAGCAAAGAGATCAACTTCGGGGGCAGTTTTGTTGCTGAAGTATGCTGGTTCTGTTGGTGGCGATGTTGGCGTGTCCATGAGATCGCCAACTAAGCTTTCTCCAAATGGATTCACTTGAATGGAGGTTGTATTAGCTGATCCTGGTCAGGTAGTGATAAGCAGTTTAATTACCAATTTCCTTTTCTCCAAAGTAAGGGCACTTACCAGTTTTCTATGAATTTATAAATAGCTAAATCATATTTTGAGGTAGTTGATAGACAATTTCAATAAAAAACAAATGCAACAAACTAATAAATATAAGAAAGATTAAAAAACAACATGGGACGAGAGGTATGAATAATTTTGAGGTCATGCAGTTCCGATATACATATTCAGCGACTGACTCATTGCTAATGTAGTCTTCAACTGACGAACAAATACAGCTGAAATTGTATCCATAGACATGAGGACTTAACAACCTTTTAATGAAAGAATTATAGAATAGCACAAAATCTGACTGCTTTGAATATTTATATTATACTGTGCTCTTATATGAGACTGGCAATGTTTCTGACAGAATTATGCAGTAAGCATGTCTATAACGACATTCAATCAGAAGTATGTAGTAAGCTTCATGAAACAATGTAAACCCAAGAAAACAACTCTGCAGAACAGCACTCAGGAGAAATGCATCATGTGAGCTATGTGCAATCAGTGGATGCACATGATCACTGATCCTATTGCCTCTCCAGTTAACTTGGGTCATAGGATTAACCTCACAAGTTGACAAGCCAAGAAATTATAAAAGGTACATTGGAATTTGGACATCAAGTAATCCAGATGCCATTAGGCAGGCTTTGTGATCATTTGACGATCAGTACACACAAGACACCATAAAATATATGGTACCATTTTTGCAGTTTTCTCTTACCCCTCTCTAGTTTTAAACTATCTGGTTTTTCAAAGTTATAATTGGACCTCTGTAAGAGCATTTTGTTTAATTAAAATATAATCAATAGATCAAATCATATTGAGGAGATTCAAATAAAAAATAGAGGGAATCATTAAAGTAACTTATTAAAGAACAATTCAGAAATGGAACTTATAGAGAAGCTGAATTGAATTTGAAATAGTTATAATTCAAATAGAATACAAGTACAAAATACTGACATATAAAGGAATTCAACAAATACATCAGTTGGATTCAGTTTCTGATCCGACCTTCTAGTACCTTCGAGGAGGGAGCAAAGGAAATCTTGTAAACATGGTAGCATTTAGCATTGTGCTTCTAGCAGTGATCCTAAAGCTACTAAACAATCCAATATTAAGATAACCAGTAAAAAGTAAACAACATAGTAACATTGACATAAAAGAACTAGTTGACATGGAAAAATACAGAATTTTTTTTAACTTACATTTCTTTTCATAAAAAGACATAACATGTTTTTGAAAGACCACTACACACCAAATATAAGATAATGAAAGAGTAAGTTTCATTCTATTTTGCAACATGCACAGCTATAATGATAGGCGTAGTTATGGACACTTACCCCCTGTAGTGGATCCACGTGGATCAAAGTCATCAAAGTCACCAAAGTCATCCTCGCTATCATTTGGTTGTATGCTCGCGCTTTTTGAAGATAGATCTGCACCCATCTTTGTTGCTGTTTTTGTCGGTTTGGAGGATGTAGAAGCATGAGACCTGATAAAATAATAAGTAATAACCATCTTATTTCGATTAAGATGCAGCAAAACCAACAGAACAGTTGTTGAGATGGCAACTAGCAATTGGTTTCAAACACAGTTGGCGATATTATCTTATGCCACATATAACAAGGATATCATGTTTACTAGTTGTGCTGTTCTTGAATCGTAAATACCAAATGTTTGCCAATAGTTAATGCATGGATGCATAAAATGTCTGTGGCTCTGTGAATAGTTTTTGCTAAATTGCAGGGAAATATAAGGCAACTGCACTTGCATAAATGTGCATGCATGTGCAGAAAAATAAATAAAGAAAACAAAAGGACCACAAATGTACCCGGAATGACGTGATCCTCCCTTCTTGAACCCACTTTCATTTTCATTTGATCGATCATCTATTGACTTGTGCTTATCTTTATAGCTGTCATTGAACGATTCACCATCTCTGGAACTATCAAAGCCTCCATACCTACTGCTGCCGCCATACGAGGACGCGCTTGACTTGTATGTTACGCCAGATGACGAAAGTCCAACATACCTACATGTCGGAGCATTACTAGGTTATGTATCAAATTACTACAACATAATTATTAAATAAGGAGAAATGTTATCAATTAAACTCACTTATCACGAGTCGCTGCAGCTTTTTTTCTGACTGCTTGTATTTTTTCCTTGTCATTTATAAGACCAACAATGGTTTCAACTTTCTTTCTCACGTTGATTCCAACATCCTTTCCATTAGGGTCGACATATTCAAAGCCTGAAAGTGACTTTAAAAATAGAAAACCAGGATGAGACTTTAGGTAGAAAATAATGCTCACTAAAAATACTTCACACTGTGATATTCTTGTCTTAGGAAAAGAAGCTGTACTGAAATTTGAAAACTGCGCTCAAGAATGTTATCAAGTGCTTGTTTAGATCCATTTGCCATCAAATACTCGATAACAGTCAATGCCTGTAGTGGAAAAAAATCAAAAGGCTTTAAAAAATGTAATTAAGGCAGTTTGAAGTGATGGTCACACACAGCATGCAAACATTGAATTTAATTCATCTAAAATATGTAGCACTGCAGCCAATTGAAGAATGCATCACCTTGTATACATGGCGCCAATTTGCACCTGTATCAGTCAACCTGGTCCAAAGCACATTCAAAATCATCTGGCACTCGCTGCTGTAAGAAACAATGGAATTGATGTTCAGAAATTTAAAGAACTCAAGAAAAGGCATGTGAAGGGACCAAAACAAATGAAAGAAGAAACTTGCTATTTTTTTGTGGCCTGAGCGAGCTCTGCCAAAGCAGATCCATGAGGACCCCAGGGTTCATTACTGGTTGCATCGAGAACCTAAAAGTTGTCATGTTAAGCAATTGGAAACAATATAAAACCAAATTAACCCACACACCAAAAGATATAAACATATTTAGAATTATGTTATCTCTGTGACTAAACATAATATTCATGGCTATTGTGTAAAAGGGATGCTTCAAACCCTCAGCTGGATACATACTAAAGGAAATGTCAACTCTTATGATCCTGCAGCACACATTTTTCTTTGAAAATTTAGAAGCGCAGATATTTATCGAAAACAACAACAAACGAAGCCTTTATCCCATATTTTTTGGTCAACTACATGAATCCTTCCATTCAGTTCCGTTGAGGGCTATCTTCTCCACTAAGTTAATCATTATCATAGTCTTCTTAAAATGTTTTTAAGCAAGTTATCTGAGGCCTATGCTTAGTCCTTCTTTCTCCGTTAATTATAATCCTATCGCTTAACCTACTTGGTCCATTTACTGGCCTCCATCACACATGACCATAGTAGGACTTATATTTATCGTTAATTAAAAAAATGACGGGTTACTCTTCAATATGGCTGAAGAAGAAAAACGGAAGTCTAGTCGCATAAACCAAAACCTAGATAAGGATCTTATGTGGCATTAACTAAAAGATGCAATCCACTCGATACCAGGATGGTCCATCATGTGTTTTTTTAGCCCTCATATATAATCAACTTTTAAATGTATGTTCCTATAAATGGTGTACATTATGGTATATCCCGGTGCATTAATCCTTATTACTTGGGCTAACTTTCATCTGGTATCAGCTATGATCCCGAACTTTTGGTATCATTAAAGAGATCAGTCACTATTATCACTTTTAAATTATTCATGTCTAACTCCAGTCTATCTTGTAATTACATGTTCTCTCGATAGCAATTCGAGGAAAAAGGGGGTATACATTGCACATAACCCTCTTCATCTATACCTTCAACCTTCAATTACGCGAAACACCTGTCCATGAGAAAGAAGGGTGTTACTTATCTTTGTGAAAATGGCAATGCATAGGTGCTAAGTACTAGTAAGTGAGGGGTGTTTGCAACTGAATGTATAGATGAGGGGGTTATGTGCAATTCAGCTTTTAAAAAAGGACGATCTGGAAGAAAAATCGAAGAACACAGAGCCAATGGCCCCAGTTTAACCTAAAAATAGGAAAACCCTGACCTTTTGCTCCAATTCGGGGACCTTGAGCACTTTCAGATTCACCTCCCTCTTTCTGCAAAATAAATAACAACAAAATCTTTTCCTTTTCCACAAGATCTCAAACAATACAAGAACGAAATCGACACAGTTCGAATCGTGAGGGGACTCACATCTCTCGAACGGTCTGGTCCAAGACCTTCATGAAATCCATCGAGAGATCTGGCCCTCTTGAATCTGGAACCCAAACGAAGCGAGAAGCATTGAGCTTCGATCGGATCTGTAAAAATCAAGAAAATGTCTGTCGAGATCGTGGATTACCTCAGCCAAGCGAGAGGGAGGAAACGCTGGAGATGGAGATGGGTCGTTTCTTTGTTCTTCGTTATGGATTTTGAGAGCGAGGTTGACGATGATTTGAGAGGGAGAGAGTTGTTTTGATCGTACGGCCTACAAATGCTATAGGATGATGGTATACGTTTGAGAGGGTACAATACCGTGCATCGCGGTTTTTGTGATGTATTTATACCGTCGCCGGTGCGAACCGGGTCGGGCCAAAGTAGAATCCATGGCGGGGTTCCAAACCGTGTTTTCTTTTGGTTTTTTTATTTTTGGGTTATCCATGAACTGGAAATGTAGAAACTATGACTATGGAGCTGTTTACACCTCTTTGGTGTTGGGGGTGTAAGCTTATATGTATTATTAGCGCTTCATTGAATGATGGCAGGTCGGAGTTTTACTTGAAACTCCATCCTTTTTCCTTAAATCTCAGTGAAATTATTTAAAATCCATTGTAAATTAAGTCCTTAGTCAAAACTAAAATACTTTAAAATACAGAAAAAAAACACACTAAAAATAGAACTCCTCATAATAGAGTTATTATTCAATTGATTATTGAGATAAGATTATTGATTTTTTGATGCCGTTGCTTTTCTGATTTTCTTCCTATTTCTAATACCTTGCTCATAAACACTTCTAAAGTCAAGGAAATTAGAAGATGTACCAATAGACCTTGATCTTATGCTCACGTATGCTTATATTTGGTAATTTTTACCGCGAGAGTCAACAGGAACAAGCAAAAGCTGCAAAACCCACCCAAATTAGACTCTGAGCATCCTCAATGACGGTCCCAAGAATGTGCCCTTCCTCCCGTGAAGCTTCATTGCCGAAAATTTTAAAGTAAACCAGTCCATGTAGTTAACAATTTAAAAATATCTCAAATGCTTATCCTCGTACTAGATTTTTGTTACGTCAAATTGCTATCTATTCCTAACATAGTTCTCACTGGAAAATTCAGATCAAGAACTTTGAGCGTTTTTTCGCTAAAACAAAATTTTATAAAATCATCTATTAATATGAAGGGGGGAAAAACCTAATGTAATGTGGTGGAAGTTATAAAAAAAAAGAGAGAGAGAGATTAATTTACCTCCGATGGTAGTACGGAGGCAAGTCGGGGTTGTGGATGAATGGTCAAGTCTAACCACAGCCGCGAATAGGTTCACTCGTTGCTGTGGCAGGGATATGTGCCCCAACAGGGGCGCTGCTGGGACACATGTCCCTGTCACAACGTGAGTGAGACCCACTCGCGACTATGACTAGCAATCCTCTGGACGCATAATTCCTTTACAGTTGAATGCTTTTGTTCTATTTTATTTTATCTTATGTATTTATATAGTTGGTCTTGCAGAATTAGCAAAACTCATAGCCTCAACAATTGAAGGCATAAGGACTTTATTTTTCATTTTTCATTTTTCCATAATGAGTTCGATGTTTTTATCATAGTTCACTTGAGAGGAGTCAAATTACGAAAGACAGTCTGTTTCAAACGAAAGACAGTCTGTTTCAAACTTGATCCTGTCTTCACCTTAATCTCTTTTATGCTCTCTTTATTCTGTTAGCTTACAATATTATTATTATTATTATTATTTATGTGGCTATTGGCATTGAATTCATGTTTATGTCTCTAGTTAAGAAGTCAAGACTCGTAAGAAATTTTGGATTCCTTACGTTCAGACATGATAAAATAGAAGGGGACATATCATATCATATCATACTCCCTTTAAAAGCACGAGTTCGGGAAAATCTTTCTATGGTCAATATTACCCTTCACTATTTTAAATATTTCATTTATATCTTAATCTATCCTAAAAAATCTTTCTATGGTCAATATTACCCTTCACTATTTTAAATATTTCATTTATATCTTAATCTATCCTAATCATAATTATATCCCCCTTCACTATTTTAAATATTTCATTTATATCTTAATCTATCCTAATCATAATTATATCCTATAACACAGAGTATTATAAAATACCTAAAAAACCAATACTAAAAATTATCCCCTTAGCTTCCGTTTAACTAACTAGATGGATGGAATTTCAAGGGATTCAAAATCTATTTATTAAACCACAAATAAAATGTATCAAGATCTAATTATCTTTGGGTTACTAACATTTGCATGCATATTGTTTCCAAGTGGGTATGAGATGATTGTATTTAATAGAATATAACTTAATTGAGAATTCAAGTGTTGACTAGAAGATCCATGAACCGAATCTATCCAACTACTCATAAATATACATAAGGAATTCTTTTATAAGTTGATGAACTACACTAAACTTTACATTTGTTATCCAAAAAGAATTCTATTTGCAAATGCTATCCTCTCACATATAACAACTCATGCCTATATATAAACTAAGAAATTACATAATTTTTATAGCAATTTCATCTCTTTCAACTGGTATGTTCCCTTTGACATTGAAATTTATATTTTGACAATCTTTTTATTCAAGCTTATGTTTAGGGTAGAAATTTTTATATATTATATATTCTATTGACTCTAAGGACTATAGCTATAGTTTTAAAAGCAAATATTTTAGATACGAGGAAATTGTTAGAGCTGTGATTTTTTTAATTATTTTCTAAAAGACAAGTTTTAGCCAGATGCATAAGTGAGTCAGCTCATATAGGTCAAAATAATACTCATGCACACTATGATCAAACATAGTTGTGAAATTGAAATTGTTAGTAATCCATGTCTTATTTTTGCAATTAGCACCACACTGTTGTTTTCATAACCAACATGAAGGTGATGAAGATGTGACTAGTGGGGTCCACAAAATGCATGAAATGAAGACGTGAAGCCCAAGTGAAGAGATAGCAACAGTTGAACGCGTTTGTTTTCGGCGTGGGGACCACAAAACGTGGGTTGCTTTGTTTCACGTGTGTTGCTTTGTGAATTGTTCAGCGGACAAATTTGCTAGCCCACCCGGTTACCCGATTGATAGCTATATATAGCTGGCTATTCGATGCCTAGGTTTTTTGGGCTTGGAAAAATAGAACGTGCAGAGGACAAAATCAAAAGTGGAGCTTCTTTTGGCGGCTGCAAAAAGATTTGTTTGGGCTCGGTGAAAACGCAGAAACAGTGACAGCGGGACTTGTGCAAAGGGTTCTCGGCTGTGGGTTTTTTCTGCTGTAGCAAAGAATTTCAAGAGGAGTTTTCTTTGTATTCTTTTTGTGCTTTTGTGAGAGATTAGAGAGTTAGTTTGAGGGTTTAGTTCGTGAGATTGTAAACCTTTTGTATTCTCTCTCTAATAGTAGATCCCCCCTCCTTGCCCCGTGGACGTAGGCAGTTTGCCGAACCACGTAAATTAGTTTGTTTGAGTTTGTGGCCATTGTAATAGTTTGTAGCCATTGTAATAGTTTGTAGGATCTCTCGACAGGTCAGTCCTAGAACTGATGAGAGGAAGAGCCGATATCTCACTTAGTTGAGATATCCGCTTCAGATTCTTGTCTCCTTGGTGAGACGGGAATTCTTATTGGGATCTTTCTCTCTTATTGTGCACCAGAAACTCTGCCAAAATTTCCGCTGCGCACAACAATTGGTATCAGAGCCCAGATTCCAGATCTAGGGTTTGGTTGGAGGAGTAGATCAATTTGGAGGCTCGTTTAGGACTTCGTTGGTGATAAAGGTGGGATCTTTTGGTAAAGACTCTATCTTTCAGTTTTGGATCTATTCTTTGTTCGTTGGTGCGTAAGATGTCGGGGAAAGAATGTGCTTCGGGTGTCGAGGGTGGTGCTTCTGGCGTGAAGACCATTCAGAGTTTGAATATCCACTCTATGAAGATAGATGTGGAGAAGTTTAATGGCACAAACAATTTTGGATTATGGAGATGCGAGGTTTTGGATGCGCTGAACGCGCAGAATTTGGAGGATACCTTGGAGTTAGATGGCAAGCCAGATGAGATTGAAGAGAATGTTTGGAAGAAGATGAATCGAACGGCGTGTGGTGTGATTAGATCTTGTTTGACTCAAGATCTAAAATATGATGTGATGAATGAGACTTCTGCGAAGAAGATTTGGGAGATTCTCGAAAGCAAGTATTTAACCAAGAGTGGAAAATCGCTTGCATTTGAAGAGGAGGCTTTATCGTTTTCAATTGAAGAAGGGAACCTCCATTAGTGATCACATGAACCACTACACAAAGCTTCTTGCGGATTTGGCGAATGTGGATGTCAAGATTGAAGATGAGGACAAGGCGTTGCTGTTGTTGAGTTCCTTGCCCGACGAGGAATATGAGACCTTCGTCCTTACTCTTATTAATGGGAAGGCATCCCTTTCGTATAGTGAGGTCACTGCTGCACTTGTGAATTATCAGCTTCGAAAGAAGGATAAGGAGGCTTCAGTTGAGCCGGTAGCAGAGGCGTTGGTCACAAGAGGGAAGGGTCCAAACCGAAAGAATTGGAAGTCATAGTCTAGAGTAGGAAAAGATCAGTGTGCTTGGTGCAAGGAGACTGGTCATTGGAAGAAAGACTGCCCAAAGCTCGACGAATGGATGAAGAATAAGCAGAAGGGAAAAGGGAAGCAACCATCATCAGAAGCAAACATCGTATCGGATGGTAATAATTCTGACTCTTCTATTTATTCGCTTTCTATCAGTCCTACAGATAGCTATTCGGAGGAATCTGAATGGATGTTGGATAGTGGTGCGACCTATCATGTGTGCCCTAGAAGGGAATGGTTCTCCAGTTTTGAGAAGCTGGTGGATAGTGGTGTGGTGTACATGGCTGATAACCGTGCATGCCAGATCCTTGGGATAGGAAGAATTCGCATAAAGATGTTTGACGGGACTGTTAGAGAGTTAAACGATGTGAGATATGTTCCTTCTTTGAGGAAGAACTTGATCTCGATTGGAGCTTTGGTTGGAGAGGGTCTGAAGGTTCGTGTTGAGGACATGGTTCTCGAGATCGTGGAAGACTCTCAAAATATGATGAAGGGCGTCAGGAGGAATAACCTGTATTATTTGACTGGAGGTATAGTGACAGGTGGAGAGCTGGCGACTTCTGTTGATTCGACTAGACTGCGGCATTTGGGGCTTGGCCATTCTAGTATTGATTCCTCGCATAGATTGAAAGAGGGTGCGAAGACCTGTAGTTTGAAGTCCAGTGAACATGTTGATGTGAGCAAGAAGACCGATGTGAAATGTGGCACCTCTATTCACCGTGCTAAGGGTCGTTCTGGAGGAGTTCACGTGGATGTTTGGGGGCCTTCCA